GACACAGATATAACAGGCAGCATGGCAGGTTGGCCAACAGCAGCAGGCAGGAGGTCTCCCTCTTGCCCTCACCTCCGTGGAACATGGAGCGGTTGCAGAGCTCTGTCCAGTCCCCGCCACAGCCCAGCAAGGCGTCGTAGGCAATCATGGGGGCATCATGGCCTCGTCTGCCTCCCCGGCCCTCAGAGCTCCACCTCCTGTATGTCTGTGGGAGAGACGGCAGCGTCAGGGTAGGGCACTGGAAATGGGGATGGGGTCACGCAGCTGTGCTGGGACAGCTTCTCCTCTGTTAGGTGGGAATAGCTCGTCTCACAGGGAAAGGGTGGTGGGCAGCTGCCCTGCCTGCACCATTGCCACAGCGACAGCTATCACAGCCTAGGTGATGCCTTAGGGGCAGGTATAAGCCTGCACCCAGCTTAATGCACCAAGTTCTCAGCAGGCCAAGAACCTGGCTTGATTTAAGCCAAGTGCCAGGTCCTGAAATTCAGTCACAACGACCCCATGCAATGCTACAAACTTGGGGAAGAGTGGCTAGAAAGCTTCCTGGAAGAAAAGGACCTGGGGGATGTTGGTTGACAACTGGCTGAACATGAGCCAGCAGTGTGCCCAGGTGGCCAAGAAGGCCAATGGCATCCTGGCCTGTATCAGAAATAGTGTGGCCAGCAGGAGTAGGGAAGTGATCTGCCTCCTGTACCAGGCACTGGTGAGGCCACACCTTGAATACTGTGTTCAGTTTTGGGCCCCTCACTACAAGAAAGACATTGATGATCTGGAGCATGTCCAGAGAAGGGCAATGAAGCCGGTGAAGGGTCTGGAGCACAAGTCTTATGGGGAACGGCTGAGAGAACTGGAGTTGTTTAGTCTGGAGAAGAGAAGGCTGAGGGGAGACATTATTTCTCTCTACAGTTACCTGAAAGGAGGGTGTAGTGAGGTGGGTGTTGGTCTCTTCTCCCAAGTAACAAATGATAAGACAAAAGGAAATGGCCTCAAGTTGCACCAAGGGAGGCTTAGATTGGCTATTAGGAAAAAATTCTTTACTGAAAGGGTTGTCAAGCATTGGAACAGGATGCTCAGGTAAGTCATTGAGTCACCATCCCTGAAGGTATTTAAAAGATGAGTAGATGTGTGGCTTAGGGACATGGCTTAGTGGGCTTGATGATCTTAGAGATCTTTTTCAGTCTTAATGATTCTATGATTTTATGATTCTATGATTCTAAGCCAAGAATGCCAAATTTTTGACCAAGATGGGTCCCAAGTTCACACCCCAGAAATCCCTTATTATTTAAAAAATTAGGATTGTTAAGGACTTTGTCAGTCTTATTCCTGCCTCTTGGAAACATTCTCAGCTCCCCTTGTCACATGTTTGCAAATGTTTCAATTAGTCAGGTTTTACATGAGGGGTGAAAAAGTCCTGAATCAGTAATTTCTTTAGGGGCTTAATTTCAGACTATGTTAATTCAAGCCACCTTCTCTGACTTTTTATTACAGAGTCTTTTCTCTCCTGTTCTATAAGCATTGGTTGAACAAGAGGGAAAATAATTTGCAAATGGAAGAAACCTTTATTCTGCAGAAGAAGGAAGAAGAAAAAAACCACCCCAAACCCACAGCAAGGTTTGCAAAGGAAAATCAGATTTTCTCTAGAGGAGGCACATCCAGAACACTTTTTTCTGCCCAAAATCCCCAAATGAACTCAATGTTGATAAATTTATAGTAAAAAAAATGTCTTCCTTTAAAGGAAATGGGCAGCTTTATTTCCTGAAGTTTAAGTTACATGATGGTAGGTTGAATTGTTGCTGCTTGTCTGGCTCTTGGCTTCTGCAACACATCTGAAGGGTTTGCATTTCTTTCTATTCACTTTCATCTCAGCCAATACACATTTGGTTGTGGTTTTTCTGCATATACATCAAAAAAGGCAGAGCTGGACTACAGCTTTGCTCTGCTGCTTTCTCTTTTTTTTTTCCAGCTAGAGAGAATATTTATGTCTTTATGCTGTCCTCGGACACATGCAAACTTCGCAAACTTTCTAGCCTTGTTGCTGCAGTTTGGATGCTGGTGGAGCAGTACTGGCACACATGTAATACTACCAAAGGCAAGAGGACTAAGCATGGAAGTGCTATTCTGGGTGCACAGGCGGGTGGCTCAAGTGTTGCTCCCTTTAGCCCTTAAGATAGCTGGTGCTCTGCACACATCTGATGTCATCTGGCTTTGCTGAAAAAACTTTACACTAGGCATAGTTGTCCTCGGGACCAACTGGGGGGACTTAACTGCATCAAGGCAGCATTTCTCAACCATTTCAAAAGTGCCACCTCCTTTTGACTCCTGCGCCTTCATGCCACCCTGTGATGTGGCACCAGCCCAGCTTCCCCAGGGCAGGCGAGGACCAGCAGCACTGAGCGCATGGACCGGGGTGACAACATTCACTCCCTCCTGCCGAAGGCACTGAGCTGCTGCCAAGCCCTGGAGGTAATTCACACGTTCCCTTCAAACCCCTGCGGTCAGTAATTACAGCTGCCTCTGACTTCCTCACCCTCCAGGAGATGATTCGCTGCTGGCTAGCACTCCCTTTCCATCCATTTTCTTTCCCTTTCTAGGTCCTTTCACAGTGCTGGTTTAAGCAGCTCCATCTTAAGGGGATGAGATCCTCAGAGTCTAACTAGCCTGGATGAGTTTGTTTTGGTTCCTCTCATTTTGTCGCACACCACGTCCAGCATGGGAGAGAGAGCAGGGCAAGTGATTTGTTTGCAGAAGCAAGGCTGATCCTGAGTGCAGTGCAGTTTCTGCCTGTTTGTTGTGTATCTAACATGTTCTAAATGCATATCCCTGAAAAATGATTTATCCTACAGTGGCCTATCTCATATTTATGCATTCAAGAATGTGTAATTTGTGTTTTAACCCCACATTTCTAGTTACCTCCAGATTTAAGCTGTACGCCTGCTTATACAGAATGTGGTTATTGCTGCTTAGCATTTCAAGGTGTAATTTATTTTAGAAAGGGAAATTGCCTTTGCGACATGCTCAGATTAATCCAAGCCACATTTGAGGGCTTCACTTTCACATCTTTTGCAACTGGTATGTGACTGCAGAAAGGTGCACCTGGTCAAGCAGGAACATGGATACAGCAACCCATTGGCAAGAGTGGTGCCAGATATTGGTCCTTTATTATTTACCTGTAGAAAGGCAATCAGCTATACCTCCAGACACAAGCAGAGAGTTAGTTTGGAGGGAGTACAAAGGAAAGCACTCCTGGGAAAAAGGCAGGCAGGATGGTTACCTTCTCCTCATTTATTCTTTTTGTGGCTATAAGCACACCTGGCTTATAATCAAACTAAGTCTCTCAACTTCTGTCAGGCTATGATCTCTGGCTGGCAATGGAGTTTGAGGGTCAAGCAACAGTTTCTTGTGCATGAAAATGAATCGCTCAATAGGCCAAACTAGTTGGGCTTGGGCAATGAAGGTAAATTGTGTTTCTGCACTAGGAATTTATGCATTTCTTTCTTTAAATTATCATGGGGAAATACTGTTTCGTTTAATCTCTCCTAAAGCTCTGCTAAGACTCCGGTAGAACTGGAATGAACAGAAAACTAGTATCAAATTCATGGCACTGAAGTAATAAAATAAAACTGGAAGGGGATATGTTCTTTATGTTTAGAGTGAACAATATCTTACTATCCACAGTCTGTCTTCCATTGGCACCTTTCACTACATAGATGTGCACCTAAAAATATACAAAGTGACTTCTCAGAATAGAGCTGTGCTTTAATAGTCTGGAAAAATTGATTGATTTATGGGGAAAAGGTGACAAGCACCATATACTTATTGCTTAGCTGCTAAGTGGAGAGCTTTGAGAGGTGCCAGCACATACCAGAAAGCTGTAAACACCAGGGTAGAAGACACATTATTTCTCTTGACATAAGAAGATATAACCAGAAGTCATGAAGCAAAGGAAAGATCATATACCCTATAAAATAGTATCCCATGGGACGTGATGAAACACCATCTCTTGAGACACTTAAAACTAGCCTGAGCACAGCCTGTGTTGGCAGAGGACTGCCTAGGATGGCTGTCTTCTGTTCAAAGGACCATAACCAAGTCCAGCTCCTAGTATCTGGGAGGATTTCTGTGGGACTGGGGCCAGAGCTCCATTAGGCTTTAATGAGAGACCCCCAGTGAGATATTTGCCTTTTCCACCCTCATAGAGCTGTGGCTTGTGCTTTGTACCTGCTCTGGGTGTCAACATACCTCTGCACTGTTTCCTCCCATTGCAGCAGCCCCAGGACCAGTGGCAACTCCTTTTTTACGCTAACACATACCCAGGAAAAGGATGGGAGTTGTTTTTTCTTTCTTAAAATTTTAGAAAAAAAAGAAAGACTTCCCGACTCCTCTGGCACTGGAAACAGTTGAAAAATACTGGTGTGTGTCTTTGAAAATACCTCTCTTGGTTCAGAGACTTTCTGAGCACTTTCTGAAGATGCAGTTACCTTTTCTCTCTCCTCTGCATCGTAGTTGTCTGGAAAGACAGGTTTATTCTGATTTTCCTCATTGATTTCTCTCTCTTCCAAATAAAACTGCCACTTGGCTTCAAAGTAAAACCAGTGTTCCTGATATTCTGAATGCAAAAGAAATGAATTATGTAGTAATTCATCTCAGCAACATTTTCAGTTCTACTTAAATAAATTTTAAAGAAAATGACAGTATTGACTGACCTGAGAAACTAGGTATTTTACAGTAACATACATTAATTAGGTATATGTACTAAGTATACATTTTAACATGAAGTGGGACTTCTAACTGGAAACAGAAGATGTGAAAGAAAGAAGAAAATATTTTCAGAATCTTGTGCTATTATTATGGTATACTAAAATTACATTAAGTTACATCAAGATAAATTTTATGCCAATTTTTATATTACTTCACTCTGATTAAAGAATATCTAAAAATGCTTGCATGTCCTAAATACAATTTGCCTCCTGCCTCAGTTATTGGTTTTTATGAACATAATTTCTCCAGTATTTCTGTTCTGCTCTCACATTATTTCTATGTGAGCTTTCAAGAAAAGGCAGATTGGAAAGACTAAAATTTCCATTTTCTTATCTTATAATACGTATCAAATGTAGCAGAAAGGATAAACAACACACACATCTGCTATCTGTGCCCATACAAATAAGCCTTCTTTAATAACCACAGGTCTTTCTCCTTTTTCTGTCACTTTAGGAAGAATATCTCTAACCATGTTTAACTTTATGTGTGCAAATAATCTTATTAAATTCAGCTTATTTTCAAGCCAATGCTCTGGTTCAACCTTTTTATAAAGGCTTAAAAAGGTGGGTAAGTCACATTGACCTTTTAAGTGCATACACATGCACCCATCTGCAGAACTGAGGCCTGAATGAAATCCTGCTGGGACCCCAATAGGGTAAGGAATAAGAAATCAGTGAGATGGGCAAGATCTCTAAGTACGCCAAGGTGAACTAGTAATTCAGCATGGGACTACTGGCATACAGTTTAAAATGAAATTAAGTATTGCCACTTTTTCCCTGTCTCTGTCCTTCTTGGTAGCTTGGTTGTGTGCTGCAGGTGGCTGAGGAGCATCCACACAACCAAGCCATTTCTCTGAAAGTTGTAATTTGATTTTGCTTCTTTTCCTAAAATGCCATCTAAATTACCCTCTTTGGCAATTAATATCTTTAGAACAATTAACTCCATGTAAAAACATCTCAGCTGCCTTGTAGGACCTGATACTTTCACCAGGTTGCTGGTTCCTCCGTCCCAGGCAGGGATGAGCCTTTAACCATGTGACCCTATATAGCTGGGAATGTCCAGCTGCCCTTTCCTGAGTCCATGCCCCGGTTTTGCCTGATTACAAGGAACACATTCACTAGAACCCTAAAAAAGGGGGAGTGTTTAGAAAAACAGAGTGGAAGTGCACTGACAGCCATCAGGCCAAGGAGGTCATCTCAAGGAAAAAAAGGTCACACAAAAAAAATGTTGTTGGTTGAAGTAAACTACTAACACCCACTCCAGCAGCTGGTTATAAGGCTACTTTTAAAAATGCAAGTGACCTGAGAGGTTTTTTTCTTTTTTCTTTTTTCTTTTTTTTTTTTTTTTCTATTTTCCCCATGACTATAAAACAAGAATGCCTCAAAAATTAACATTTTCTATGTAGCACCTCAACAAGCAAGGAAAAATTCTTCACCAAAAGGTTGTCAGGCATTGGAACAGGCCATCCAGGGAAGTGGTTGAGTCACCATCCCTGGAGGTATTTAAAAGATGAGTAGATGTGGTGCTTAGGTACATGGTTTAGTGGTGGACTCGGCAATGTTAGGTTTATGGTTGGACTCAGTGATCTTAAAGGTCTTTTCCAACCAAAATTATTCTCCCATTCTATGATTCTGTGAAGTGTGATTACTCCAATGCACAGGCTCAGAAACAAAGGGATCAAGCAGTTACAGGAGATTTTGGTTGCATGGGCAGTGTGTAGCATGGTCAGAAATCCCACACCTCCAGGCCTAGCAAGGCTCTCCCTAACCCTTGAGCCCAGCCTGAGGCAACAGTCACATTCAGGTCCGTGGGACTGTCTGACAAGTAATCAGAACTGAGTATCAGAGATGGGTGCTGAGTTGAGCCCTGTGAGACTGAACACTGTGCGGGGATAACACAGCTAAAAAAGAGTTTTCTAAAACTGGAGGATGCTGGCAGGATTTCTTTGCAGTGCATCTTACCAGCCAAGGAGCTTAACTTTAATGCAGGAGATTTTTCCCGCTACCAAAATAGGACGAAGCTCAACAATACGGGCACTAGCCAGGGAGCATGCCTCAGGAGTCCAGCACGCATACCTCCACGCCGAGGGGTCCTGCCGGGGTGGAGTGACAGGGACCTGCTGCAAAGCCTCTCTGAGAGGAGCTTGCTCACACTAATCCTGCACCTGCTCCTCATAGGTCTTGGCTAAAAAAATCCTGGTGTGCAATGAGGCGCAGATGAAAATGCAGGGTCTTTCAGAAAGGCTCCCTCGTGCTCCTTTCAGATTTTAAAGCGGCAGCTTTCCTTCCCAGGTAAATCTCCATTTCTGAATGCTCTTCAGTAAAGATTTCCATTGAATTCAATCTTTCTCAACAGCTGTCCCTTGATATTAACAGAAAAACCTCTTTCCTTGGTGTTTTAACATAAGGATACTTGTCTGTCCATGGCAGGTCTCACCCCTACAAATGCACCACTCCCTGGCAAAAGAGTGGCAGAGCAAATACTGCTCTGAAGACCACATTGGTTAGTAAAGTAGCACTATCAAGTTTAGTAGTTGTTTTATGTTCAGTTGTTTTAAAACAAGGATACAGACGGTTGTATCTTAAATATTGGTTCGTAAAAGCAACAAGTCAAATCTGAATTTGTGGTCAAAAGTTAACTTTTGCTCAGGAGGCATCTGCAGGTGAATTTTTCCTGACAAAATGAAGAATATCAGTGGGTTTTCTTATGGAAAACATTGGACTGTGCTAATTGATGGAAGGGAGCTCAATAATTCATACCTCAGCAGTCAGTGTGCCTAATAACCTGCTATATATAATTTCCTCCCTCCCCCCTGCCCAGCAATCTTTGAAGACCTCTTAAAAATAAAATTGTGCAGTAGGGCATTATCATTGTTATTTCTCTTTGTATTTTTGCCACCAATATACCAGGCAATTAAGACACTAGAGGAAGGTGGCACCACCTATGAAGAACTTACAGTCTGGGAAGAGAAAACCAGAGAACAGTCGGTGGAGATGGGAAAGAGGGTAAGCAGCAAAAATGGAGACACTGGGGAGTGATGTTTCTTCAGTGTTTTCTAGCTGAACATAGTTTTAAGAAAATAACTCATGATTTGGAAGTTTTACCTGCCATATGGCGAATTGTCTTCTTGCAGTATTCTTCAGCCATCGGCACAACCTTCATCATCTCTCTTCCCCACTGCACGAGGGGTTTCCCTTGTATTGCATATGCCACAAAGAGAGCTGTGCATAGGGACCCTAGAAAGCCTGGAATTCACAGATAAAAATGATTACCAATGTGCTTTTTCCATCCTTCGTAAAACCATTAATGGAATGCCTCCTGGCTGTCAGGTAGATTAATGAATGCACATAACCCATCTCTGCCTGTTTGCAGGCTGGCTCACAGCATTCTGAGATTCTTGGCTAACGCGTGGTGCCCCTTGGTTTACAACTTATTTTACATGGAAGGGAGCTTCTGTTCTCAGTGGTGTAACATGACAGAAATTGAGGTAGGGGTCAAAAATAGACATCATCCACTAATGTAGTACTGAAAATCTTCTAATTGATGTCACATGAAATAATTGACTTGCGCGAAGTGATTCGATTACAAGCTATATCGCCTTGCTTACAGAGTCACCTAGCTCAAGGGCTGTGGTTGTTAGAGCTAACACTATTTCTGGCTCGTTTTACTCTGAGGAGTCAAGTCTCTGTCTTGGACAGTTGCTTCTTTCCTCTAAGGAGACAAGGCTATGTCCCTTAGAGCAAAGAAACAATTGTCCAAGTAAGATATGCTGTCTGCCTGCCCAGCTAGGTCTTCCTCTTTGGCTGTGAATCTCCTTAAGATGAACTTTGTTGATGGGCACTCAACATTTCCACGATGTCAGAAAAAGAGGGGTTTGTTTCTCATATTAGCTTGTGCTCTTGGTATTCTGTCAAAGACAACAAAACCAACCCAATGTAACATGCAAAAGAAGGTTAAGAAAACAACTCAGTCATTTAAATAAGCCCCAGGTGAGCAAAGTATTGATGCATGTGCTTCTCTTGGTGCATGGGTCCAAAAGCATTCACTCATGCATAGAGGTAAGCATGAACTTTGTGTGTTTTGCTGAAGATAAAACCAAATTATTTTAGGCAGTTCCAAGTCCAGATGAGACAATTACTCATTTTCTCTGCCATAAGACCTGTAGTACTGCTTCAGGCCAAAGGCACATCTAATCTAGGATCCAACAGACGCTTTCAGAAAGAATAAAAAAACAGGTAGAGCCAGCAAAAAGAGTCTCACTCGGACAGATGGCATCTAACCCAACTGCTGGAAAGATCCTTGAGTGTCACATTCGGTGTGAGGCTGGCAGCAGAAGGTTTACAGGATGAAACAAAGGGCTATAGGGGGGCAGCGAGACAAGTCAGTGTAGAGGGTGGTAGAAGCTGGGACGTGCCCAGAACTTTTTAGGGGGGCTGGCAGTCTCTTCCTGCCCAGTCCCCTGGTAGCCCTCTCCCCCTCCTGCTTTGGCCCTGCTCCCTGCAGCCCTCACGGAGCCTCCTGCCCCTCACCGGGGAAGAAAGCGAGCCCCAGCCGAGGATCCTGGCCCTGTAAATAATGCCAGTACACAGTGAGCCTAATTGGTTTGGCTTCTCTGCTCCCCAGAGCTTCTGGACTAGGTTAGAGGCAATTTTAATTAGACAGCTTGATTGCTTTTAACAGTGACAGCCTTTCTCATCCACTTGCCTGATCCCTTTTGAACCCAGGCGTATCTGTGGACTTTGCAGCTGCCTGTAGCAGCGGCTTAACTATGCACAACACAGGGAAGTATTTCCATTGTCTGTTTGTTTCAGTCCTGACTGACATGTCAATTGGGTTTCCACCATCTTTGGGTTATGAGAATCACAACTGACATTTCCCCGGCACCTTTCAGGGTGGTAGTGAGGTCCATGGTGGCCCTTCCACCCCTCTCCTCCCCGCCTCCCTGCCGTGTCTGTTTTCCCAGCTGAAAACTCCTTCTGGATGTAATTTCTCCTTGTATGGAAGGTGTTTGATGACTTGGATGCTCCTTGCTACCATTTTCTGTCTCTATTAAGTCCTTTCTGAGGTGAGAGACCCAGTATTCAAGCAGTCTTACTGCTGCTAATGCACCAGAGAATGTATATATTTGCTTAACGATATTTTATGCTTTGTTTTGAATTCTTTTCCTCTAATTTTATGCCATCCTGATGGCTTTTCCACCTGCTTCAGAGCATGGAACATGTTGAACAAGACACCATTCATTATCGTTTTATTTACTGCCATTTAAAGAAGATAGAGTGAATACGCACTTATGTAGCACAAAATTATCAGAACAATAAACCTGAATATTCAAAACAACATTAAATCTACTTATTTATGTTTTGTTTAGAGAATGTTTCAGATTGTGTCCTAAAATATGTGGAGGAAGATTTTTTGGCTTTCTACCTTTACCTACAGTAATTGGATATGACAAAACCCATCAAGAGAAAAATGTTTTTATCCTCTGAACCATAAACCTGCATGATAACAGTGAGTCATCTAGATGTACACAAATCCTAAAATTTGACCAGGGCAAGTGACATAAATGTGCTTTGGACAAGATGGGTTGTGTTTTGTTATTGGGATTTTAGGAGGGAAAACTCCCACCCTGAGGTTTCTGTCTGCATAATATAACTCGAAAATATATAAGCCTATATGAGTAATATATACATGGATATACTATCCAAGCAAAATTCAAACCAAGCCCTTAGATCCTGCAAAGCAGAAGCAGTTTAACCAGCTGAATTCACAGGAGCCATATTAGTCCCTGCAGAAGTGAAAAGCAGCCTGAGGGACTTCAGCGTCCCGACACGTCAGCGGGCATTACCTGTAGGGTGGTTGTGAGTCATTCGTCCGCACTCAATGCTCACTTCAATAAGGGACTCCAGCCTTTCTGGCTTCCAGTACCGCATCCCTAAACACATGGCTTTTGTGGCTGCTCCAAATCCAGAACCTAAAGTAAAAAGATAATGTCAAGCACTTAAAAGGAGACTAATGATACACAAATATGTCAGTAAAATGTGAAACAAGTACATCTTATTAGTTCAACTCGTGGGAACTCCTCAGGGAATGGGATATTAGCATGCAAAGTGAGTTGCAAGTTCTGAAAGTTTCTTGTGAGGAATTTTGCTTCCACACAGTCATTCTGCTTTTACAGGTATATTCCAATATTCTCAAATGCTACGAAGAGCATAGCAGGTTCAGAAAGCAGTGTGCTCTTGCTCACAGCACTTGTCTGATTCAAACTCTCATGCCATCTTTGCTCATTCTTGGCTGACACCGCTGTTTTGCTTGCTCCAGATGCCAACACTAGAAACAGAAGTTTGAGAAAGAGGTACACTTTTACTACACCCTTATTTTAGTAGTCTTCGTGCTGAAAGCACAGGATTAAAACTCTTTATATGAGTATAACAAATGACCTTTCAGTTTTATTGCATGTTTCATCCTCAAGAGCCCCACAGGTAGTTCACAAAATAGTTTCTATTACATACAAAAATAATGTGTCCAAAAAGAAACTAAAGGCTAGAGAGCCAAATCTCCCAGTCAGGCGGTGTCAGATCTGAGGTTTCCTGTGTGACCCAAAGGCAGTGCTTGTGCGCACACCTATGATACGTCCTGTGCTCACTGAGCTTTGTCTCGGGAATTTCTGCCCCGTGCAGCGTGGAGTTTATTTCTTGAATATCTAATTCAGTATTTCTTTTAATCCTCAGCATTGAGTGCACGATCCCAGATGTTCAACTTTTAAACACTTCATTGAATGGAGAGTTAAATTTACTAATGAGTTTCTCTGCAGTACTTATCACAGTAATATCAGGATCCCACAGAAGTTTCAATGAGCTTATCTTCACAAGGCACCAGTGAGACAATTATCTCCTCTCTGCAGCTGGTGAGCCAATGCCCAAAAAAACTTTAACTCATTGCAGGCATCCATCCTGAGATGGATAGGGTTTGATTTTTCAAAGTACTTGGCATTTTTCAGCACTGTCTTTGCTCAATCACACTTCCCAGTGACCTTGGGTATAGTGGAAAACAATCAGCACTTCTCTACTTGGTCCCTGGAAGATAAGGGGCATATTTATGCTGCCTAATTTTAGCATCTGTGGAACCTACATTAGGAGCACGACCTCCCTGCCTTTTCCTGACAGGCAACATGGAGAAGGGCTGTATGATGGTGTAGTAGGAGCAATTCATGGGCCAGAGTGAGTTGGAGCAGCAGATGCCAAGGAGCCAGGGTCAGGGCTTTTAGTCACTCATCTTCAGAGGAGCCCTTGGCTACTCCCCTGGGCTGTGCCTGGTGTGGCTGCAGAGCACCAGGGGCTCTCCTCGAACACTGCTTGCCCTTCATTCCAGCTGCTCCAGCTCAGGTGTCCTAAGATAATGAGTGTGATCAAAGTGTGGTAGTGGGGGTGGTAGGAAGATTTGCCTCAAAAGTACTTGCCTGAGCCAAAACGTAACACTAACGTAAGCCCCACACTGGCATCTCCAGGTGCAATACAGACCAATTTATCTCTCAAGAGAAGAGCTCCTCTTCTCCCTGGAGAGCAGCTATCCTGAGTGAGCAGCCTGGTTAGGTGATCTAATTAGCTCGGCTGAAGACATTTCTTCCCTTCCTCCCCCAGAGTCCAATGTGCAAATTTTGCATGCAATAACTCTTCCAGTGGGTTTAACCACAAAGGGCAGTCTGAAAAAGGCCAAACATCTGAGAAATGTGACATGAAAAGCTTTGCAAAATACCACTTTATTCCCTGCAAGCTCAGAGCTTGCTTCTTCCCAGCTAGCCTTCTTGATACTAGTTAAAGAGATCTTCTCCAGGACACCTTTGGCCACTGCTCCTGATGAAAAAGCTGGACACTTGTCCTGCAAATGGTATGTTTGCTCCTGTACCTCACATATGCTACAGCTGTAGTGCCTGATTTTTAAGGAGCCAGGAGCAGATAAAACTTTCTGCCTAGTCCACAAATCACACTGAAATCACAAGGAAGAGTTAGGAAAGAAATCCAGTCTTCCAGAGCCCCAGTCAGCTTAACTGGGAGAACATAGCTTCTCCTGCTTGCAAGACCAAATACTTCATTAAACCATCTGCTGCCATAGAGCAGCAGATGAGAGTCTTCTTCGCTATACAATCCTGGTTACTCCAAAGGACACAATCCATGCTGATTATCCAACAGGGAAGGGTGTTTTGCTACACAGAGCTGCTAATTAAATAACATCTCCTAGTATATCCAAAGTGGAGGATGCACTACAGTAATATGATTGCTGGTTTGAAAGTGCTTGTCTTTGCAACTTCATTGTGTTCCTCCAGTCTAAGATGTTATATTGAACCCTTCTGCAGAATTAGACAAGCGAACTCGGTAGCAAAAAATTCCATCACATGGAGTAACATTAAGCCGAGACAGGGTTTCAGGTGATTGGCAGCTGTTAACTCCCATGTCTCAGCATCTACCATTTGAATCAATGAAGTACGGGACACTGAGATTAGCCAAGCAAGGGGTGACACACATGTGTAAGAACATAAAGATTGTCCTCCATGATCAGACCAAAGGTTGACCTAACTTGTCATGTCTGACAGCGGTCAATGGAGAGGATACTTAAGAAAGAGTAAAAGAAAAGTATGATGACGCTACCCCTTTGCAGTAATTAAGCTGCTGACAGTTTGTATCCCTGATCCAGGAGGCAGCTGGCTGTTCATCTTTCTGCTTAATAATCCTTCAAGGATTTTCCTTGGGTGAATTTACCCAGCTCTTTTTGAACTCACGTGAATTGCAGCATCTACAAATTGGCATTGGAAAGTAGTTGTGCAGCTTAATTAGGTGTTGTGTAAAGCAGTCCTTCCTTTTGCTTGCTTTGAACTAATGACCTGCCAGTTTCATTTGAAGTCTCTAGTTCTTGTGTGGGAGGAGATAGTTTTCTCTGTCCCTATTCATATTCTCGAAGCTATCTATGACTTTACAGCTCTCTCTTATACTGTCTCAGACATCACAGCCCTATGGAAGCAGTTTTTTTACTAACCCAACAACCACCCTTCCTCATGCTCTTTTTAGTTCTCTTGCATCCTTTTGAGGGGAGGGAGGGACCAGATTAAATACAGTAATCAAGAAACAACAGCTATTGACCTATGCACCGGTGCAAACATGTTTTGTGTTTTGTTCTCTGTTCCTTTCTCAGTCATTTCTAACAGTCTATTTCCTTTCCAGCTCTTACTGAGCACTGAAGCGACGTTCCTGTAGAACTACTGTAGGTCCATGACTCCTTCCCTAAATGGTAACTGAATCAGCAACTGCAACTATGAATATAAAATTAGGATCTCCCCTCCTCTGCATATGACTTTTCATTTATCTGCATTGCATTTGTCTCTGCTGCTGTGTCACACAATTCATCATTGTGAGCATTTTCCACAACTCTGCACCATGTTATCTTTGACTTTGCTGACCCACTATGTACCTGCATTTCCAGATAGCTTGTGGACATGTTGAACAAAAGAGGTCCAACATAAGTACCTCTTTCTCTACGGAGAAGACAGACTGCAATCTCCTTCTTTTCATTTACTGTCTTTTAACCAGTTGTCTGTCCTCAGGGGAACCTTTCTGTCATCCTGTAACAACTTAGTGCTTCGCCACTAAGGGCCTTGGGTCAGCGACCTTATTGAGAGTCTCTCGGAAATCCTAACGGACCATCTTCACATCATCTCCTTTTTTCCTGATGTTTCTTGGTTATCTCATTAGCTTTCTAAAAGAATTCTGAGGTGTGACTTCTTGTCACAAAAACTATGTTGACATTTTCTTGTTACATCATTTTCATTCATGCACAACATTATTCTCTTTTAGTATGCAATACCTCATTGTGCTTTTCTTCTGTCTACATCTGTAGAATAATTAAGATAATCTTAATGGCTGCTAAGCCCTGAAGAAGACATGCCTTTTGTGACTACAGACTGTTCTGCATGAGAACTCAGAGCCTGGCTCCTTTATCTCCTCTCCTTCTATGGCTTATCCTTCTCTTCATTTTTGCTCCCCAGCCTTCTGGATTTAACTCATACTTTTTCCTCATGCTCCTATAGCAATGCCACCAGCACAAAGGCACTGTTCTCAAGTGCTAGTAGGAAGCCCATCAATTGTTCTAGTAGCTGCAAATAAAGACCTGTTTGGATGCTGCAGCCTCAGGCTGAAATATATGTGACACAGGCAGAGCCAAGCTGCTGTTTGACCAGCCTTGTGTGGTGGCTCCCAAGGCACGTCTCTGGCTCAAGGGGTAGCAGCTTACTCAGATTTTGGTTCCAGCCCTCAAGCATCAGTGATTCTATTCTGAACAATTTGAGTTTTTAGTGATGGAACAAAACATTTTTACCATGTCTCAGAAACAGTAGACTCATCTGCACCAAAACTTTAAACACGTGCTGTCAGAAAAACACCCAACAGTGAAAATTTCAGCCTCAAGCTAACCAATGTCATAAATTGGAAACAAGTTATTAAAATGGAAGGCATTAGAAAGCCTTGGGCAGGTCTTCTGGCGGTCATGGGAATCTCACCAGCCTTTAAAATAATCCAGGTACTTTTGCAATGAGTGTGGCAATGAACATGACAGCAGGTGGCAAAGAGCCACACAGGGCAGTTTGACTTAAGAACTCGGTGTACCCACACAAATTTGAGCAGAGGAGCTTCACATAAGCAAGGTGAAACTGAGTTACGATTTCACTGGTCCATGAAGGCTGGCACATGAATTCTTACTAGAAATAAGGTAAGTTAAAATGACCACAGGAAAACAGCATTTTTTTTCCAACCCATGCAAGACAACATCTGACTGCTAGGCATTCAACATCTTTGGAATGTTTTTACCTCGAGATGAAATTTATGAAAATTCAATTGAAAAGTTAATTATGTCTATAGCAGTGTCAGGCCCTGTGGTATGCTGAAAATCTCCACTTCAGGTTACTGGTTCTTCTGCTTTCAGGGTAAAAAAAAAAAAAAGCCTTCTTGAGATGTTCAGAATGATACTTGTCAGACAGATGAGAAGGTGGGCTTTAGGCAGGTCTCAAGGCAGGAATTCATTTTAGATCATTCTAGTCAAGAGTGTCCCAGAAGCAAATAGATTACCATGGAAAGCTGGGGAGGAAGAAGGCTAAATTAAGATATGTAGCTCCAAAACAGCAATGGGCTGGGGAACAGCCATGCTTCACTGCTGGAGGTTTTGGGAGCTGCTCAGGGCCAGCAGCAGTTCCCACAAGTATTAAGACCAAATTTTAGCCACTGTCAATGAGAAAACATATGATGAACACCAAAGGGGCACTTTCTTAGATCTGCCTGGTTAATAGGGGGGTGGGCAGAATAAACAGGGAGGGGGATCCTTTTCCCTCCCAGCAGCTGTTGTGAGGAGCTGGGGCCAAAGTGAGGGATGCTTTCTGTGCCAGAGAAAACTGGCAGCCGAGACCCAGAAAATAGACATGGCATTGTGCCACCGGGTCTTTGCCACGAGGTTGCACCAATATGCAATGTTGTTGAGTGGTGCTGATGCGTACTGTGGTGGTAGGTAGAGTGTCATACCAAGGCAGTGCAACGTCTGTGTGAGCTGCCATCATCTTGCAACTGTCTAGGTCTACCTCCTCTGATGCTGTCGTGTCTCTACAGGCTTTCAAGATTAATTGCACTATATGGGCATATGCGTATGTGTGTGCACATAGCTGCATGCATGTTATTTAACTTGAAGTAGAAATTCAATTCATCATAAAATGAAATTATACTAAAGAGGAAGAAAGCCTCTAAAGAGGCTTTCTAAAGAGGAAGGGTAGCCTATGGGTAGGGAAACAAGGTTAGGAATATTAGGGATTATCAGCAAAAGAGTCATAGTTGTTAGCAGGACATCCACCTGGAGAAAAGTCTCTGTTTTCCCTCCAGTGAACACAATGGTGCTTAGAGTATTTTACAGGCTCGGCTTTTTGTTTTATATCTACCACCACAGCAAAGATCCAAGACTACAAACATTTAAACAAAAAATGGCAGAAAATATTTCTTAAAATAACCATTAAACTCAAGGACAAAAATCTGGACCCAGAGGCACAGAGCCAAGAACAAAGTCTCTTTAAATAGATGTTAAAGAGGGAAGGGTTCATTTACGAGAGGACATAGTGCCCTACAGAAGGAATTCCTGGCAGATCTCTTGCCATCCTCAGGCAAACATGGAAATATTTCAGGGGTAGTAGCCTTTGATGTCAGAGGGGAAAAAAGAAACAATTTCCATATAGCCACAAATGCTGAAAGTATGCATTATTCAAGCCAGGATCTATAAACAGAAAGTGCTACCGTACCCTTTTCATTGAATGGTGTGTGCCAAGCGAGAAGGTAGTTGTCTGGTTTTAATTCCCTGCAGCCTTCAATGGTAGCGGGGTCTGGCCGCCTCCCTGAGAGCTTATCGACAGCATCCACGTAGCGTTTTACCAGCTCCCGGTACAGGTCTTCTAAACACCAGTAATCTGCTCAGAGGAAGGAAGAGACAGTTGATAAATGAAGGCAAAAGAGCAAGAGATCACTAGAAACAAGCAAAAAAGCTCACTATGCATTTAAGAAATATTCCTGTTTCCACTTCCAATACACCAAGTCGTGTTTCTGGTGCCGCTGTCAACGTGTTTTTATGCACCGTGAGAGCGGGCTGGAGGGAGAACAGCCTCGTCTCTCTCTTCTGATCTTTTCCTGCTTTCCTTTCCATTTTTATTTCCTTTAATTGGAAAGATGAAGGCATTCTATTCATCAACAGTAGCTGCTGAGGGGCATTATTTGGGCTCTGTGGTGTGAAGTGTTTGCAGAGGTGTCTAACTGCAAGGTGGGTGTGTGGCTGCTGTGGGGACTGGGTGGGCACACGAAGCCAGCTGTGCCTGGCTCAGCCCACACCTTTGCTGTCATTTGCAGGTGTGAATCAAGTTAAAAAATGAAAGCCTATTTTTTTTTTTTAAATCACCAGTGAATTATTTTAAAGAGCATGATTAAACACAAAAGCAAATTAGTGACCTTATTTTTAAATCTCT